TGCTCCTGTCTCTTATACACATCTAGATGTGTATAAGAGACAGATAATAAATAATATAAAAAATTCTAAAATTATATATGTAAAATGTTTATAAAGTTTATATAGAAGTTTATATACAAAACTAGTAAATCAAATTTTGAAATCTTTAACAACTTACATATTGTGAAGTTATTGAATAGTAAAACATTTCCAGTTTGTTATATTTTTTAAAATAATGTTCTATTCCACTGTATTTGTAGTTTTGCAACACTGACTGGAAATGGTCTACTCTTCTACAACGGCCGTTACAACCAAAGGAATGATTTCATAGCGTTAGAAATCATTAACGACACAGTCCAATTCTCGTTCTCCGTCCGAGATGAAACAACGAAAGTAGAGGCAACCATTCCCGGCGGTGTGAGCGATGGCGAATGGCACACAGTTCATGTTGATTATTTAGAAAAGGTAAAGTTACATGTTTTTCTCATCAAACATTAGTATCTCACTTGGGACTCATTTGTAGTACTTACATTCTATTTACATGAAATATTCATTTATGAGAAATCCAATTGAAAATGTTAATAGTTTATGACCTATTTTTGGTTGTCAACTTATTAAAGTCTTATAATTAGAGACATGTGGAAAGTATTTTAATTTCAATTTATTTGCCACATAGCTAATAAATTATTATTTTTTTCTTTTGTGAATTTATTGAAATAATTTAGTGAAATAAAAAAAAGTGAAACGGTCATAGTTGTACAAATGTGTATTACATGAATTCGTTCGGATTAATACCAATATATTCTGGATTAATTTTCATAATTAACATTTATAATAAAAAGTAACACAATTTCTTATTTTTACAACAAAGGAAAAAAATATATATACAAATACAAATGGTATGACAAGTTCTAATACTTCTTTAAGGTAGTAAATAAGGGGTTGTTCACAACTATCAACATATTTGCAAGTGAACAAACAATACCCTTTTTCATATAACCTCTCTCCCCTCGAAAAATGTAGAAAAAAATGTTAATTTTGCAAAGAAGTACTTGGTTACTTAAAAATATATTATATTCATGATTGCATTATGTTTGCCATAAAAATCTATTATTTTTAATATTGCATGTTATTTGAATCAACATTTTTATGCATATGTAAAAGTGTACAAATTTGTCTGTCACCTCTCCCCTAGCATAATTTTTGTACACTTGTGAAAAATGCTGATAATTGTGAACAACCCCCTAAGGAATGATTGAAATCAACAAATGTATGCTTGAAAACAAACAGTGCAGTTGAATTGTGGGATAGCTGAAGCAGGTGAACAAATCGTCTGCTCCTGTCTGCCATTAAGAGGTAGAGTGATTGATGGCTGATGGACCAAAGTTCGGGAATTGTTTCCTGCTTGTGTCTCGTATGTCATCGTGTATATTGTCATTTAATGTCATTCCTAATGTCCCTTAATTCCAGCTCAGAACAGATACTGTATCATATGAAAAATCTTTTTTGTAGTTTATTTTTATAGTTAGTTTTATGGATTCTTTTTACGTCTGGAAATATATTTTGCTTCTTTCCTGTTAAACAATATGATATATGGATATTAATAAGCTTAAATAAAGTAATGATTTATACAAACTATATCAAAGGAATAGTATTAATATCAGTAGCAATTTAAACAAGAGTAAGAGCAGTAGCATGAAATGAAATAGCAATAACCAATCTTGAGCAGTCTATAGAAAGCAATAGTAATATTGCAAAAGCAACATACAAGTATTAGAAGAAGAAAGAGCAAATTTTGAGCATTAACAATTAACCTCCTGAGAAATGGTAATAATATCACCTTCATTACATAAACCAAAACCTATTATGTGCTCATTTACATTTTTTTTTTTCAAATGAGTAAGCATTCTGGTTGGGTTTTGTATCTTTATACATTTATTATGTTTAATCTTATTTCTAACTTTTAATCTGTTAATTTACACAACATATCTATAATCAGTATAATTAATAACCTTAAACTTATGGTACTCATCAAATTTATAATAAACATATTTGGCATTCATTATTGCAAACAATATCGTACAAATGCGTATTAGGAAATTGGTTAAATATATTTTCCAAGACTTTTACATTTACACTAAGCCTAGCCAATATACCTGTATTCTTTGTTGAATCCTTAAATTGCAACAGTATTTGTTTAGTATTGAATTCGTGAGAAAAAATTTCTCTTGCTATTGAGGAAGGCGAGTTTCGATTTTAGCTATATTGACACCTAAAACAGCATCGGTCTTGTTTAAGGCTCTTTGGGAAAACACTCACTCAGTTCACCCTTCGGTAAGCCTTTGGTCATCATGTTAATCATGGTCTTTAGGTCCAGTCGGTAGCTTGAAAAGGGCTTCTTTTCATCTTTTCAATTGTATTGTTTTTCTTTAGATGCTTATTGTTTGCTCCTGGAATGTGACTATTGTTGTCTTTTGTGTTGTATTTCCTTTAGGAGTTGGATTAATCAGGAACAATTAATGAAAGATGGAATTTCCGTCATTGTTTTCTGTGGAAAATATTTGTTTTGTTGTAAACATTTTTAGTTATGCTAACACTAAGCATTAATGTAAGATTTGTATTGTTTTTTTAAAATATAGAAATAAATAGCAAGAATTATTCATAATTTATACAGTAAGATGTAAGGACATGAGTTTTGGCGAAAATGGGTTTGAACCACCATACGTCTAGGAACCTAATTTGCTGGTTAATTAGGTCAAAACGTGATAATTATTGAAAACATATTTGTTTCCAATAACTGTGTAACAAACTTTAAATTTTCAGATCAGTCTCATTAAATTTCTCCAAGGCATTATGTTGGCAACTGGTTCTCGAAGTTCCTGGATGTCACAGAAGTTCTGTAATTTTAGGCCACATTTTTTGAAGATCTTTGCTAAGTGCTCTAAGAAGATTGATGTAAAGCATCTAGGATTAGTGTAAAGCACTTTATTTTCTCAGCCCTTTATTTTCGCGTTTTTCTTTATAAATGGCAATCGCAAAAATTAAAGGTGCGAGAAAATCCAAAATTCAGAAAGATAGTTTTGTCTTTAAAAGCAAAGCTATAGCCTGTATACAACTGATATATTCCCTCAATATATTATATCCCCACCAGTAGTATGGCTTAGTGCAACTTTTCTTTTTTTTCAAATTCTGTTTTCAGGCAACTAGTTTAAAAATGCCAACTTCACTTTTAGAAACAAGTAAAGTGAAAAATCAATGTTGTATTTTGTATGTTATGCAATTCATAACTCGTATTCACTTGTGGGAGATCACATAAACCTGCTGGGATTTATTTATTTATATTTTTATTTTTGTTTTTCCTTTCATTTTGTCTTTCATTAGATAAAGATCAAGTTGTGAGTTACTTCAGGATCTCATGAATTTATTTATATTTTTTATTTTATTTCTATTTTCCTTTCATTTTGTCTTTCATTAGATAAAGATCAAGTTGTGAGTTACTTCAGAATCTCATGATTAATTCTACACGGAAAAAATAATACATAACGTATTATTGATTTCCAGTTGCCATGGATATTTCTAATACATTTTTTATTTATACTCTATGTCATCAGTGAGATATATAGTAGATAAGAATTTTATCTTTTCTATACAAGGAAATTAAATTGTAGTAGAAACAAACTATAATATAATATTGATAAGTTGCATATTGTAAAGAAGGGCATTGTGGTACAATATATGTCCTGAGGCTTAATCGGTTTATCTATTGAAGCAAAAAACAAATATAGTGATGTTAATGTTAATTTATATGAAAATTACTAGACTAACATCATCAGTTGCTTGTAGTGGAAAGAGAAAATATTGTAAAAATAAATTTTTGGCTGATATTTTTAATATTAAACAAAGAAGTTATTTACAAATTCATGAAATATGACAAGAAATTTTGGAAATAATTTAAATGAAATTTAATATAGATAATTTAGGTTTAAATAATATAAAATATATTTAATAACTTAGATTTAAAATATAATCAAACTACCTTGAATTTTCAAATATTTTTTTTTCTTAAAATAATTTGATAAATAAATTAAAATAATATTTTTATAGTGTATAATACTAGGTCTCTATAAAAAAAAAAGAATATCAACATAAAATAATTGGTAAACACAAAAGTGTGGTTTCATTATTAATTATTATCATTGATTTTTATCACTAAATTATATTTGAAAAGGAAGTCATAATATAAGTAACAGGTTTGTAATTGATACGGCACAGATATGATAAATTAAAGAATATTTAAGTCCTAAAACAAGATTATTATTCTACAATTGTAGATGGATGAATCCAGTTAATGAATTGGATGTTATATGACACCATTTGCAGATTAACATTCTCTCATGTTTCATAGGTGAATGGGGCCCAGGCTATAGGCTATTAATTTTCCATTTGAATTTGCTGTATCCTATTAGTAGGCTTAAGAATAATTGAACTCAGTCATTGATACAGTGGATACAGTTTATTATGATTTGGTTCAAAATTTTGAAATTTACTACTACTTTCAATGTATTTATATACAGTATCCCCATCCTTTCGGACACGTCTATTAAAGGGGACATTTTTTCGGGCATTAAAAGCGGGAAAGTATGTCTTTTTAACACTACAGGTACGGCCATGCCCCTATTCAGTGGACACGCATTTTTGGTCCTGAAGGTGTCTCCTTGAGTGGTTCTACGCTATTTGTTGTGGTTTTCAAAATGCAGATGGCATTACCTCATAAAGTCCCCAGATGCTTCTTGGGTTATCAGCAGTAATTGATAACTGATAAATTATAATATTTAAAAAAATTTTTATTACTTACAGCTTTATCATAAATGTTCATTTCATTTTTCTTGCTAAAATAAATTTTCATGTTTCTGTTTGTCAACTTATTGGTTAATGCTAGGTTGAAATAGCAGTATTCATAGATTCAATTCATATTTGATTAGTTAAACATCTTAAATTTAGATTATGAACTTTAACATTTCTATTATACATTGGCTGTAAGACCTGCTGATTGCAATGTATGTTGCTCGTATCTCACCCCCTGTGTGATACTGATAGACAATGCGCCACCATCTTTTTTTTTTAAGCCAATTAAATACACATATCCAGTTGTGTAGACTTAAGTCAACAACAGGGGTGACAGAGCCTTTGCTTTGTTACACAGTAAAATATTGATTGTTGGTAGGTATCGTCCAATCAGCTTTATTCTTTTGAATGCATTGCCTGAATGTGCATTACTATGTGCTTGGTTAGTGCTGAATGGCCTGCCAGTCGTTTGTGAGGACAGGCCTAAATTTCACTGCACAAATGGTAGGTGCTAGATAAGCAAATGCTGCCACCACTGTTCAATTCAAATTTATTTCAGGTTAAAATTTGCACAAAAAATACAAACATAATTATAAGAACAATAAGAAACAAAGAGTGCT